AGATTATATTTGTCCAGGAATTTGTCCATCTCATCCAGATTGTCTTGTTTCTTAGCACATAGATGTTCAAAGCATCCTCTAATGATGTTTAGAATTTCTATTATGTCTTTTGTTATGTTACCAGCCTCATTGCAGATTTGATTCACCTGGTTCCTTTCTCTCTTCTTAATAAGTCTCACTAGTGGTGTATCAATTTTGTTTATGCTTTCAAAGAACCAGATATTACTTTAATTCATTTTCTGTATAGTACATTTATTTTCTATTTTGTTTGTTTCTGCTCGGATCTTTATTATTTCTTTCACCTGGAGTTTTTTTTATTTTTTTTTGTGTTGCTTTTCCACTTCTCTGAGGCTTGAAGTTAGGTGATCCATTAGCCTTCTTTCTGTCTTCCTCTTATGTGCACTAATTGCTATGAACTTCTCTCTTATGACTGCTTTAGCAGTGTCCCAAAGATTATGGAAACTTGTGTCCTCATTGTCTTTGGCTTCCATGAATCTTTTGATTTCAGTGTTTATTCCATAGGTAATAGTGGAGTCATTCAGGAGTAGGTTATTTAGTTTCCATGTTTTTAGGTATTTTTGAGGATTTCTCTTGAAATTAAACTCAAGTTTAATCCCATCATAGTCAGAAATGATGCTGGATATAGTTTCTATGCCTCTGAATCTGTAGAGGCTTGCTTTGTGTCCTATGATGTGGTCAATCTTCACGACAGTTCCATGTCGGGGTGGGAAAAACCTGTATCTTGTAAGTTTTTGGGTGGAAAATTCTATAGATGTCTGTTAAGTCCATTTGATTTATGGTATCAGTTAGATCCTTTATCTCTTTACCTATTTTTTGCCTAGATGATCTGTCCAGAGGGGATAATGTGGTGTTGAGATCTCCAACAATCAGTGTGTTGCAGTCTGTCTCCCCTTGTAGATCTAACAGTCTTTCCTTTACATATTTGGTTGCTCCTGTGTTAGGAGCATAGATATTAATAAACATTATATCTTCTTGATCTATAGACTCTTTTACTATAATATAGTGCCCTTCTTTGTCTCTTCAAATGGTTTTTTGTTTTAAAGCCTATTTCGTCTGAAATTAGTATCGCAACTCCAGCTTTTTTTTGGTTCCCAATTGCATGGAAAACCTTTTTCCAGCCCTTCACTTTCAGTCTATGTATGTCTTTCTCCATGAGGTGGGTTTCCTATAGGCAACAGATAAAGGGTTTCTGTTCTTTTATCCATTCAGCCAGTCTGTGTCTCTTGATTGGAGAATTTAAACCATTAGCATTCAATGTTATTATTGATGTTACAGGATCTCTACCCACATTTAAGTTGGCCATTGTCTTAGTTGCCTGTTATTTCTTTGTTTCTGGCCGTTGATTCTTTAGTTTTCCTGGAACAGTATTTTCTTCAGGGTTTCTTGATGAGCTGGTCTAGTGTTGGCGAATTCTTTCAGGTTTTGTTTGTCTGAGAAGATTTTAATCTTTTTTTCCCATATGAAGGGTAATCTTGCAGGATATAATAGGTCTTGGCTGAAATAGTTTTTCTCTTAACACTTTCAATACATCTTCCCAGTCTTTCCTTGCTTGCATTGTTTCTGATGAGAGGTCTGGTGTTAGTCTGATGGGATGACCTTTGTAAGTTACTTCTCGTTTCTCTCTTGCCAGTTTTAGTATCATGTCTTTATCTGTGGTGGTAGCCTGGCTAAGATGTGACCGTGGGAAGATCTTCTGGGGTTGGTTCTATTTAGGGTCCTTTGTATTTCTTGGGTCTGGATGGTTGAGTGCCTCTCTAAACTTGGGAAATTTTCTTCCAAGATTTTATATAGATTGTCCTTTCTGCTATTAGTTTCTTCACCTTCTGGGATGCCAAGTATTCTGATGTTTGGGCGTCTAATGGAGTCTAGTATTTCTCGTATATTATCCTCGTGTTTTTTTTTTTTTTTTTTCTAGATCTT